TTTGAATATTTTATTTTGTTAACAATATTTGCAATTGTGTGGCCTTAGCTGTATATACGCCTTATCCTTCTGGTGATTCTAATGTTACAAATCAAACTTTGGTGAGTAGTATGAGAGTTGCGAAAAAAAAAATTTTCTAGAAATAAACTTTTATTTATTATTATTATTATTATTATTATTATTGTTATTATTATTATTATTATTATTATTATTATTATTATTATTATTATTATTATTATTATTATTATTATTATTATTATTACATTATGTATATTTCAGGGTTGGTAAAGTTGAGAAAATCATTTAAATAATTTATAATTGTACTTCTAAAACAATTTTCAAGGAACGGTCAAATTTTTACTAAACTTCAGTAGAGGACATATATGTTATGTTTATATTCTCTCAAATTGTAAAAAATCCTCGAAGAGATTACCAAACTGTGACTGCCTAACAACGCAGTCATAATGCATAGCGAATAAAAGTTTTTATTCGAATAATTTAATAAACTTTTCCAAACACCTTCAAAATCTTAAGATACGGGTAGAAAACGGTTTCCGTACATTAATACACTTATAAATCAGTAACATAGTTGAGTCTCAACCTATTTTAAAAGTGGAAGCTTATAATTCCTTAGAATTTCCCAATCAGTTTTCATGAAAAATGTTCTGCTTAACCAAGACATTCTATCTGGGCATTCAAATATTATTCGAATATTCGATTAATCGACAAAAATTTTTCGAATTATTCTTTATTCTAAATTGGAAATTTTTTATTTGTTCGAAGAAAAACAATTTTTTTCCTCGATTAATTGAATAATTTTTATTCGAATGACAACCCTAGTCGTTAGTCTTGTATATGAACTAAACTAAACTATTTCTACGGACTATTCTATGAATTTTATACTAGTCTTTGGACTAGTATAAAAATTACAGTATACTTATACTAATTTATTGCCTAGTCAAGGGACTAGGCAATAAACTAATGGAATTACATCAAGTGTCAAGTGTCAAGTGACCCAACTCAAAAAATCGATTTCGACGAAATTTGCGCTAAAGTTAGTACTGTTGGATAGTAGGTCATACAGAAATTTCTGCTCTATCGGTCAAGAACTGCCGGACTTAGAGGGGGTCAAAGTTGGACATTTTGGTTATACAGGTTTTTATTGAAATGTGTGTAACTTTTCACCTATTGGTCCTAGCTTCCTCTTTCCAAAAAAATTTTTTTTTTAACTATTTTCTTCAAAATGGACCCTATTTTTGTTTTTTTGCTTAAAAGAAAGCTTATACAATTTCCTTGAAGGGCTTTATAATCCCATAATGGGATGCGAGTGGGATATGTATCAAAAAATTATTTTTTAACTCAAGAATAAAATTTGTTGCAATATTTGGCACTTTATTTTCCCCTATTTTTTCAAAATGGACGTTTTTGTTGTATTTTTTTTTTTTTTTTTTTTTTGCTCAAAAGAAAGCATCCCACTAAGTGACCATAAAGCTCTTAAAGGAAATGGTCTAAGCTTTCTTTTGAGTAAAAAAATACAACAATAACGTCCATTTTGAAAAAATATGGGAAAATTAAGTGTCAAATATTGAAAAAAAAATTATTCTTGAGTTAAAAAATATTTTTTTTGATGGACATGCCACTCGCATCCCATTATGGGACTATGAAGCTCTTTAAGGAAATTGTATAAGGTCTCTTTTAAGCAAAACAAAAAAATAAAAAGGGCCCATTTTGAGAAAAAATTAAAGAAAAAATTTTAAAAAATTAAATTTTTTTTGGAAAGAATGAAGAAATAGCTATTGAACTCCTTTGGACTAATAGGTGAAAAGTTACACTCATTTGAATAAAACCCTGTATGACCCCCTTTTACTCCGGCAGTTCTTGACCGATAAAGCTGAAAATTTGTGTCCGGCTTACTAACCTTGGTGCAAATCGGAAGACATCGATTTTTAATGTTGGGTAACTTGACAAGAAATTCCCCATATGTATATTGATTAGTAGACTGACTGAAGTAGTCGGCTTGAAAATGATTTGTTTTATATTGACATAAATTTACGAAAATATAGATTTGATAAGAGTAAGCAATTAAGCATTTTTTTAAGAATTTGTTACCATTTGCATGTATAAGTGACTTTATTTACTTTTTATAGAAATAGTTTTATTTTTTTTTTTCAATTTAATCTTCTTTTAAATCTTACACCGACTCACAGTAAAATAGCTTTTCAGCCCTCTTAAAATATATATACCATTACAAACCATATTATAATATCCAACAATTTTTGGGTCTTTCGAGACAATTCAGAAATAGAACACTTTTCAAAAAGAAGTGTTAAATGAGCTTTTAATAGAATTATTGCTTTGCTTTAACATGTCTTCGAAATTGTTATGGGACTAGTGCACAGTGGGGCAGAAAGAATTTTTTTTGAAATAAATCTTGCATTTCTAAACGGCTACTCTGATCAGGATAAGATTTGACAGGGGCGTAGCCAAGGGATATTCGAGTTCAAGTTATGACAATGGACCCCACAAGTACTCCAGGGACGGCGCTATGCCGGCTCAAAAAGGTTACCTTCGAAATTTGTAAACGCGTGCCATTTTTTCGTTTCCCATCCGATATCAAAAATTTTACTTTATTTTATACTTTGGGAAAGCGCTTAGCTAGGTCTTAAAAATGCATGCTTGTATATGCTATTTACCACTTATAATTTCAAAAGATTTATTTCCAAAAAATTTCCTTTCTGACCCACCGTGTAGTGTTGTTTGCTGACGAGGCTTTAAAAAAAGTTTCAAACATTCAAAAATTTAAAACTACAACTAAACAAGACCTTTCTAGCTTTAGAAAAGGTAATCGGTAGTATTACATTTCAAATAACAACTGGTGCATTACAACAGTTGTTATTTGTAAGCGTAATTTTGCTGAGATGGTTCATACATATCGCTCATTTGCTACAAGACTACTAATCCAAAAATGAAAATCTTTTATATAGTATTTATATTTTTAAAAATGTTTCTTATTTTCGATGTCAGATTTTATTTTTCAAACCCGGCGACCTGTTTGAAAGTTATTTAAAAAATAGTAATCATAATATATCCAATGCTGTTTTACTCAAAACGACGTTTTTAGATTATGCAGATCTTGTTGTAAATGACCGATTTAATTTGAAGGGTAACAATAATAGTATTTTATCTGGGAGTTGGTATAACTTACATACTTACATTCATATGTACATTTGGAAATACTAAGTATATATTTTATATTTTTAGGAAAAAGTTGAATACATATTTTTAGTTATATTTACATCAGAATGTGTTATGAAAATTATAGCATATGGATTTGTTTTACACACTGGTTCATATTTAAGAAACGGATGGAACTTTCTGGATTTTTTTATAGTTGTAATAGGGTGTGTATAAATCTATATGATAAATAATTGTATATCTACTAAACATTAAAATTTCGTTTTTTAGTATGATTTCTACGGCTTTATCAAATTTAGTTAAGGAAGGTTTTGATGTAAAAGCGTTGAGAGCTTTTCGTGTGCTCCGGCCATTACGATTGGTGTCAGGTGTACCAAGTAAGTATACATAAGTTAATAATAATATCCGTTTATGCACATGTTGTTAAAGTTTGTATAACACATAAAATAAATGTTGTATTACAAAATGGGTATCGAATGAAAAAGGTCAATTCTCACATTTCTATTGAACTTTTTGTTTTATTTTTTAAGATCAAAAAGATACAAAAAATATAATTTATTATCCTTGAAAGTTTTTCATAAATTGTTGAACAAATATTTCTAATAAACATATTAAAATGCTGTAATATACATATGTACAGATTAGGGTCTAAGCTATATATACACGGTTGTCAGATCTTACAACGTTGGCAGAAAAATATCTAACAACTGTGTGAACTTATAATTTTTGTCTTGCAACGTTGTTTGTAAAAGCATTGTCAGTGCAAAACAATAATTTTTTCAGACATATGTATGTATAACAATCGTTTAAACACATTACGTTGCCATTGCACAGTGGGGCAGAATGAAAATTTTTTGGAAATAAATCTGGCATTTCTAAACGGCTGATCCGATCGGGATAAAATTTGGCGTGAGCGTAGCCAAGGAGTATTCGAGTTTAAGTTTTGAAGATGAACCCTGCAGATGCCCCAGGGACGGCGCTGTGGCGGCTCAAAGTAGGGTACCTACGACATGTAAAATTTTTAAACTCGTGCCATTTTTCACCCAAATACAAAGATTTTTATATTTTGTGAAAGCGCTCGACGAGATCTTGAAAAAACATGCTTGGACATACTACTTATCTCTTATAATATCCGAGTTATAGGCATTTAAAAATTTAGTGATACAAAATTTACCATACCTTGGTCCGCCTTTTTTTGAATACCGGGCGTAATTTTGGACCAAATGGACTCAATTTTTTCTTGTTAGTTAGACAACAAAATTTCCAATAATATACAAAAAATTTCAGATCAATATCGTTTACAGATCCAAAAATATACGTTTTTTAATTTAAAAATTCAAAAATTTTTAGATTTTTAGCGTTTTTTTGCCAAAAATGTGTCTTAACTCTTTCATTAATAAAATAAAATTTTTATTAAGAACATATAACAACTTTATAGTTTTCTAAAAGGTATCTTTACGCAGAACGCTTTGGCGTAAAAAACTAGTCCTATTTTTGAAAATGTTGCCACTGCGTCCTTCCGAATATGACCTATTTTTTATCAAAACTTCAACTTTGGGCGACATGTTCTAAAATCCCAAAGCTGGGATCAGAAAACTGAAAGCAGTTTTGGAAACCTCAATATGTTTTCTATTTACTCCAAAAGTATTTTCCCAGCCCTGAAAGAAATGTGGACCCTATGGGCAAAAAAGTAAAAAATCCCATTTTTGGGATTTTCATTCCTATTTTTGGGAATTGCGGGATGCCCTTTGACCTTTTCAATTTTTTTTTGCATATTCTTATTTGAAATGACAAATTTAACAAGCGTTGAAAATTTCATTGAGTTTTGTTCATAAATAAAGATTTTGTCATATATTACATATTTGTTTAATTTCTAAAACTATGATTTATATCAAAATTTTAATAGGATCGCAGATAGCTACAACAATTTAGTCCATATTTATCCCTTAATATCATTTTTTAGTTAGATATGGAAATTCTCGACCCTTTACAAAAAATTTCAAGCCAATATCTCAATTACATTCAAAAATATGTTCATTTAAACCTGTGTCCTTTAATTTCATCTTTTTCATATTTTAGTATTAAGTATGACAGAACATACATTTGGTGTTGAATAAATATTTGGACAATTTTTAAAAATTATTTAGTTAATTATTTTATTATAATATTGTATATTAAATAAAAAAAATTATAATTTTATTATGAGCCACGCACAACAACACCTAAATCACCCCACACAAATTACCTTTCCCGCCCACCGAAATATAAAACACAATTTAATACAATATCATCAGTTAGTATAATAGCTTTTTTTATTTGAACTGTTTATCTTAAACATAATACAATTAATTCTTACAACCTACTTATATAGTTAATTCCTAACACTACTTATTTTCTATAAAATAATCTGTCATATCGGTATACATATCCAGAAGGTAATATAAGTTCTTTAAATATTCCTTGTTTTGAGATGATAGAGTTTCATAACAAATCCATCTTTTTCGCATAGTTGAAAGAACAGGATCAGAAGATAGAAGTAAACTATTAAAAATATCTTCATTCTGTGATTGCCTGGAGCATTTTCTTGAGCTGAATAGTTGAACATGCTTAAAATCTCGATTCCTCGCTTCCTGGGCTTCTTCTGTTAACTCTCCAAGTGGAAGAATATTCGATTCAATTATTATTTGACCATGACACAATACTTTGTGTACTGTTGGTGTTAGTTCCCTCCATGGATACAGAGATACAAGTAATTTAGAAATTTCAGATGTGTATTCCCCAAATCGATTTTCATTAATTTTATGTTTACTATTCAGTGCCATTAAAATAGTTTTAACTCTTCGAAGCAACACCTTGTCGATTCCAGTTATTTTTGAAGTAATTTCAAAATCACGAAAAAACCTTCTCGCCGTATTACCGTCATTTGTACTACCGCAACTTGAAAGTGGTTTGTCGATGTTTAATCCCATCTGAACTTTAAATTCTTCTTGGATTCTGCTTTTTTCCGCAGCTCTCAGTTCTTTCAATTCTTCATTATTTTTTGTTGATTTAGTAGGATAGTTTGTTTTTTTTTCCTGGATCGCCTTGTATGATGGTAATATATTGTGTCCTTTTTCATGCAGAGCTCTCCTTAATATTTGGTACTTATTTCGACTGAGACCCAGTTCCAACATAAGCGCTATTGCTTCCTCTTCAGTAAAATTTGATTATGATGTTGGAGTTGGTATACTTTCCACAATTCGCTTAAGTCGTTTTGGTGATGCATTAGGAAGAATAGTTGCAATATGTACGACATCCATATGTTGGTTTTCCTTTTTCAGCATTTCGTTAAATGTATCAGCAATTTCCTCATTTGAGATTGAAAAAAGTTTTTGTGTGACCCTCTTTTTTTTTACCTTGAACATAAGTCTTCGTATGACTTGCAAGGCGCTCCTATTGATGTGTTGTAAGTTGAGATTTCCGTAGTAGTTTCCATCCAACTACAAAATTTTAATCGAAATTTCTTTTGATTTCCATCCACAGACTTACTTTTTACATCAAAAAGTTTTAAAAAGTTTTCAATTTTTGATATGCCTGTTTTGTCTACTTTTCTACTATATGTAGTTTTTATATAATTTGAAATGTCTTCAATTCTTTCTGGCCCTTTTGAAGATATACTCCATAAAACGGAACACAACTCTTCGTACTTTAATGTAATCTTCATTGTAGATTTATTAAATATGGTACTTAAAATCTGAGAAGTTTACTTATATACCAATTCTTGTCATTTCCGATACAGGTATTCCAAAGTAAAAAATTACGAATTGTCTACCTATTAACATTTAGGACTATATTACTATAACCTGTAATTCAGTCATTGATATTTCTTATTAGTGAATGAATCGAAATTATCATTACCTGTACATTTTTACCTACATGATCATAAACGAAACAGAACGAAATGATCTGTCGAAAAAATTTAGGTAAAAAATAGTTATAAATTTTTGAAAATTTAAGCATAATAGGACCTTTCAATTATAAGGATAAGCAAACAAATAGAAAATAGGTAAAGAGATAAGATTTAAATATGTTCTGTCATACTTAATACTAAAATTTGAAAAAGGTGAAATTAAAGGACACAGGTTTAAATGAACATATTTTTGAATGTAATTGAGATATTGGCTTGAAATTTTTTGTAAAGGGTCGAGAATTTCCATATCTAACTAAAAAATGATATTAAGGGATAAATATGGACTAAATTGTTGTAGCTATCTGCGATCCTATTAAAATGTTGATATAAATCATAGTTTTAGAAATTAAACAAATATGTAATATATGACAAAATCTTTATTTATGAACAAAACTCAATGAAATTTTTCAAATAAGAATATGCAAAAAAAAAATTGAAAAGGTCAAAGGGCATCCCGCAATTCCCAAAAATAGGAATGAAAATCCCAAAAATGGGATTTTTTACTTTTTTGCCCATAGGGTCCACATTTCTTTCAGGGCTGGGAAAATACTTTTGGAGTAAATAGAAAACATATTGAGGTTTCCAAAACTGCTTTCAGTTTTCTGATCCCAGCTTTGGGATTTTAGAACATGTCGCCCAAAGTTGAAGTTTTGATAAAAAATAGGTCATATTCGGAAGGACGCAGTGGCAACATTTTCAAAAAATAGGACAAGTTTTTTACGCCAAAGCGTTCTGCGTAAAGATACCTTTTAGAAAACTATAAAATTGTTATATGTTCTTAATAAAAAATTTATTTTATTAATAAAAGAGTTAAGACACATTTTTGGCAAAAAAACGCCAAAAATCTAAAATTTTTTGAATTTTTAAATTAAAAAACGTATATTTTTGGATCTGTAAACGATATTGATCTGAAATTTTTTGTATATTATTGGAAATTTTGTTGTCTAACTAACAAGAAAAAATTGAGTCCATTTGGTCCAAAATTACGCCCGGTATTCAAAAAAAGGCGGACCAAGGTATGGTAAATTTTGTATCACTAAATTTTTAAATGCCTATAACTCGGATATTATAAGAGATAAGTAGTATGTCCAAGCATGTTCAAGACCTCGTCGAGCGCTTTCAGAAAATATAAAAATCTTTGTATTTGGGTGAAAAACAAAAAAATGGCACGAGTTTAAAAATTTTACATGTCGTAGGTACCCTACTTTGAGCCGCCACAGCGCCGTCCCTGGGGCATCTGCAGGGTTCATCTTCAAAACTTAAACTCGAATACTCCTTGGCTACGCTCACGCCAAATTTTATCCCGATCGAATCAGCCGTTTAGAAATGCCAGATTTATTTCCAAAAAATTTCCTTTCTGCCCCACTGTGCATTGCCAGATATTGTGCGAATTTTATTCATCTGACAAAGGAATTACTGTCAGATAAATGTTTTTTTTGGCAACACGGTATATTAAGAGAACATATGTAGCTAACAATAATTTGACAACAGCGTGAACTGACAATTTATGTTGGCAGATAAATATATTCTCTGACAATTGTCTGGCAGTGAAATTGTAAGGGTTTCTTACAACCGTGTGAATTGACAATTTACTTGTTGAAAACAATTTTTCATTGTCAGTACATTACCATCACACAACCAGATCTGCCAACTGGCTTTATAAATCTTTTCATGGAATTATTAATATATTTTTTCTCTCATCAAATCAAATAAATTATAAAATTTTTCCCGTAAGAAAAATTATTTTTTACAATAATATAGATAAAAATATGAAATTTGACATATTACTTTCCCTACAACATAAACTGTTTAGAAAATTTTAAAGTACTTTTTCTTATTTTCATTATAATGTCATGTTAAAACTACTTTCATCAGAAAAATGATGTGATATACCACATTCATACAATACCCATTTTGACGTACTAGATCAAGCTAAAATTTCTCAAAAAAAAATATAAAAAATTACTAAAAACTGGCAATGTTGTGTAATTACACATACATTTTGTATGTATATACATTAGACTTACCGGATTTTATATGGGGAGAAAAAAATGTCGGAATTTTGTTCGTCTTAACCCCACAAAATGATTCCCCTTTCCAGATATTGAGATAGCCGAAATTTGAGCTCGATTAATAAACGTTAACACGTGCCGCTCGTCGCTCAAAGTTTGAAAAAATCCAAATTTTTGGCCAAAAAGCTAACATATGAAGCTATAACTCCAGAACGGTGAATAATAAAAACACGGTTAGTACCTCTAAAGAAAGCTAATATTGCACTTATTAATTTATATTATATACATACATAATTCTTGTTGCTTTAAGTCAAACAGATTTTGTCTCCAAAAACGTTACCTGGTCGCAGTAGGAGCATACTTCGTATATTTTGATATGTGATAAATTTTGCTATTAGGTAAATATTTTACATATTATTGTTACAGAATCATAATGTACATAGATTTAGTATTTTAAAAAGACAGAAAAATTGGTTAAAAAATGAGATTGTTATTAAAAATTCCCCAGGCCATTAACGTGTTTCAGATCACTTGATTAGGAAATGGGGGAAAAATTTAACCAATTTTGGAAAATATTTTAATAAATCTATTTTATTACATAAAATATATCTAGATTTACTCGAATATAAGTTTTTGTCCTTAAAAGATATCGTTAATGGTCTGGGGAATTTTCAATAACTTTTACATTTTTCAACCTAGTTTCGTGTTTTACATCTTTTTGAAATACTAAATCTATGTAGTAAAATATTTACCTAATAGCAACATTTACCACATAATATCAAAATATACGAAGTATGCACCTTTCGCGACAAGGTCACGTTTTTGGAGACAAAATCTGTTGTAACTCTGTTTGACTTAAAGTAACAAGAATTATTTATATAATATAAATTTTAAATTACAATACTAGCTATTAAAGTGTTTCTATTATTTACGGTTCTGGAGTTATAGCTTGATATGTTAGCTTTTTGGCCAGAAATTTGAATTTTTTCAAACTTTAAGCGACGAGTGGCACGTGTTAACGTTTATTAATCGAGCTTAAATTCAATCTCAATATCTGGAAAGGGGAATCATTTTGTGGGGTTAAGACGAACAAGATTCCAACATCGACCTTTTGCGGTCACTCTGATATACATACATATGTATATCAAATACGTACATATGTATGTAGCTTCCCTTCTTGTTGCACGGTGTTACTTGTTAAGTCAATATTTATTCTACAAAACAATAATGTCTTTTGTATTTTAGGTTTACAGGTTGTTTTAAATTCAATTCTAAAAGCCATGATACCACTGTTGCATATTGCACTGTTAGTATTGTTTGTGATAATAATTTATGCTATAATTGGTTTGGAATTATTTTCGGGAAAGCTACATAAAACGTGTCGAAACCCTACAACCGGTGAATATTTAGGAGATTTAGATGAATTACATCCATGTGGTGTTGGATTTCCATGTCCTGAAAAATATGTGTGCTTTGATGAATGGGTCGGTCCCAATTGGGGCATTACGAATTTTGATAACTTTGGTTTATCAATGTTAACAGTGTTTCAATGCGTTACCTTGGAAGGTTGGACGGATGTTTTGTACAATGTAAGTATAACAAAATTAATTATTCGTTTCTACGTTATATCGTTTATACGAGTTAATTTTTAAATTCCAACGTTATTGTAGTCTTATTCTTTCAAAACTTTTCAATTTGCATAGTTACAAATTCATTGAAGTTTGCCAGTTGTACAATGAAAATCATATTATGTATATATTACTGTTAATTGTTACTACCTTTCGGATCAAAAGTAATTGAAAAGTACTGAGTTAAAAAACTAATAAAACCTCTTTTCACTACTTCTTCATTAGCATTTTAAGTCATTATTTTAACACGGTAATGTCATTGGAGGCAAGTACTTCCACGCTCGCTTACAAAAAAGGAGTTAAGCAAGTACTTGCAATTTCACTCACAAAGAAGATGTTTAGTAAGTTTTATTTTTCAATAATAAAAATAGTCAACTAGAATACGAATCAGCGACTTCGGTTGCTTAGTCAAATATTCTACTCACTGCACCACTGCTTAGCTATTTTATTGCGCGTCAAATAATTGTTTTCACATACAACTTTAATTTTGTTTCCTTTTTTTTGTAAAACACAATTCTTAACACACAAATGTGCAAACAAAATGACAAAGCCGGAAATATAGTACTTCTATATCAGATTATAAGAAAGTCATTACTAGAGTATTTCAAAGTAATGCAGACGGTAAGTAGTAGTCATTGAAAAGTAAATAGTTATGGAAGTACAACCCATTACCGAGTTTTTGCTAGGTATATATTCAAAGGTCAATTTATCCCTCCTATGACAACGTCCATATACCTAACGAATCATTAATATCTTCAGATCTGTGTAAGTTCACAGCAAAAATAAAACGAAGTACTTCCAAAAGAATAACATATATCACCACTTCAAAAGTAGCACTATGTAAATTTTTTACCTTCAGGGGAAGTGATGTTTAAAGACTTCCAAAGAAGTGAAAATAATTGTATTTTTTCAATGCTGAAGATATATTTTTTGGTCTTACATTTTATGAGATAAAAAATTTTGTTGTTGGTCTTTTGTATTAAATGTGTCTATTACCCTTATTAATGTTAATATTATTTAAGTTAAATTAGTTGTATTCTATAATACTACAATTTTACTTCCGAATAACTTCCAAAAAAAAAAAAAAAACATAAAAATTACTTCTTGAGAATGACTTCAGAAGTAGTGAATTTGGAATCGAATAAAAATAACATCCCTCCTTTGACAAGCCTGTGTTAAAATCATTACTTCTTCAGGTCCTTTTCAATACATCCATGGAGTAAATTCAACTTCTTTTTCGCTTCTTTGGAAGTTCTTTTTTTTGCTGGGTTTGTTTTCTTATTATAGTACATATAGGCATTTCTAAGTTTAATTTTGTGCAATTTTTACTTTCAAAGATAATTGCAAAAACCAGGGTGTTCGAACGCTACAAAAAAAAAAGTTGTTTTTGGGCAACAATTCAATTGTCGATTTCTGCGAAACCTGAGGTCATATTGTAATGGGACTAATTTTAAAATGTTGTTAACTAATGTCTCCTTAAAGTGGTTATAATTTTGCTCAAAAATTATTTATATATTTTTTAAATTTAATTTTAATGTTCGAACGCGACATTTTTTTCCTTCATGACATTTATGTTGTTCCTGTTGATGCTTTGAAAATATACATACAATCGCTTAAGCAAATGCAAAAGATGTAAGAAAATACGGTCGGCCATGATCGACCGATTAACGTACTTCGGCAATTGATTGATAAAAATAAAGAAGTGGTGTTATATAAAACTTACTTTTGCCTAATTTGAGCACAATACTAGTGTTAATTAGAGAAAATCAAATTTGCTAAAAATCGGCAGTACGGTTGATGATTACACCGTCCGACAAAAACAGGATCATTTCGTGATCCTGTTTCCTTTTAAAAATACTTCAAAGTTTTAAAAAGTACATTTTTCAAAAAATATTTTAAAATACTTTGACTGATCAAACAACGTCAAATTTGATGTCAAGCGAACAAGAAGATTTGGGAAATACTTTGTATTATTTTTATTTTATACTGTCAGGATAAAAATCTGTCAAAAATGTATTTTAAAATTTTTATCCTTTAAAAAAAATTTTTGAAACACATTTTTTACATCTTATTATTCTGGCAGAATATAAAAAAATAACACAAAATATTTTACAACTCTTCTTATTAGCATTGTTTGATCAGTGAAAGTATCTTAAAATATTTTTTAAAAAATTTACTTTTTAAAACTTTGAAGTCCTTTAAAAAATTCACAGGATCACTAAATGAAAAACTAAATCGCAGTTTTTATCAATTAAATCAGTGCTGCCCATACACATACTGTTACACATCAATTTGTATTGGTAAAGCAGCAGAGAACAAAATGTAACCCAAAATAAAACTGTACTAATAAAATGACTGCAAACTAAAAAGTATATTCTGACTGTCAAATTGATATTATGAATTTTGACAGACAGCGTACATTAAAGTTCATATATAAAAAACTATCAGCTGTACTATCTCATTCATCTACATAAATTCGGCTTTCTCAAAATTTTGTTGTTGTATTTCTGTGTGGATTTTAAAAAAGTTGCGTGCATATCTTACTTCGACAAATGCTGCTCAGCAACTGAGTTGATTTTGTTTTGCAAGTTGAGCAGTGTGAATATTTTGGCATTTTTGCAGCTAGATTTAGCATTTTTTATTATGATTTAGCTGTAAAATTTTAATTTAGCATTTGGCATTTTATTTAGCATTTTTATAAAATATTTTTAGCATTTTTAGCTTTTTTTGCAATTTTAGTATATAAACAAAAAAAGACAAATTTTTGCAAAAAAGATTTATATTGGAAATAGGTTTAACCGGAAAATTTCAGAATTAAATGTCTACCCAAACACAAGCAACAAGAAATATGAGAAATGTAATAATTTACACTGTAATTCAAAATAATGCAAAAAGATTCATGAAGATAAATAACTTAAAATTACGCCAACACAAGTGAATACTTTAAAATGTTGTATTCTAAAATATTTTTCTAGAACCCAATGCTTTTTTAAATTCGAGGTGATAGAAATAATTCAAGAGTTTTCATATATTTTTACAAATACGTTCAGTACGCTATTTAAAAACTAATACTTTTTGTTTGCTCATGGAATGACACATATAATTTTGGAAAAGGCTATGTAAGGCGGTTAATTAATAAATTTTATTTTTTCCTATACGAAATAAAGAGGTTTTAATTTTTATCATCCTTCAGGAGTTCTTGTTAATTTATTGAAAATAAGTATTGAAAAAAATCAATAATATATAATTAAGACTTTCTCATCCTACTTTCTGTTCTTTTTATTTTTACCAAATTTTTAGTAATTTTGTTGTCACGTTTTTTTCCGAAAAAATCTTGGAAATATGAGTTATAAACCTGACATCTATTCACCGAGATTTAAAATTATTTCAACGGAATTTTCAATATTTTTGTGACATGAAAACCATTTTTAAAGTGTTTTGAGGAAGACAAATAAAATTGTTTATATAAAAAAAGTAAAACTAGAAATATTATACTTTTCCTTCTGAAAACACATATAGGTTTTATACCATGAGCAACTAGTGTAATTAATAGAGTTTTAATGTAATTTTTGCATTCAGAAATATTTTAAAGTTAGAGACATTACATATTGCTAAATTTACAAAAATTTTGAAATAATTTTTAGCATTTCTGTTTATCTTAATACCACGGAACTTAATTTTTTACCCTACTCCACTATACTACGTTTGAGTATACTAATCGGTTATGAATCATTTTCTGAATCGATTAAGCCATATAAGTCTGACGTCTGGTAGAGGTTGAAATTTTCAAAACAATAAGCACGTATGCTTTTTGATCCAATGACAAAACCTTTTAAAAATGGTTAAAGTCCGTCCTTTATTTTACCTAGCCCCCATACATATACAAATGTATAAAGCCTTTCTCAGAAAATTAGTTTAAATATATCGGAACCAAGGTTCAATTCAACATAAATGCTTTATTACGAAAAATAAATCAAATTTTTACTCATATGGTCAACCACGGCAGAATATACTTTCTTAATTGTTATAAATAACAATGAATTTCAGTTACAAATTAATATGAATTGTTCATAAAAACACTTAAAATATTTTAGCATTTTTTTTGGCATTTAAAATCAATTTAGCATTTTTTCTAGCATTATTTTGGATGGGATTTAGCCGCAACATTTTTTGAGATCTGGTCACACTGAAGTTGAGAGATAATCAACTAACACATGCTCAAATAAGAAAATACACAAGCAGCGTTGCCACCAGTGTTACCATATGTCAAGTTTTCCCTTTTTTTGCAAGTTTTTTGAGATTCAAAAAAGTTTTCAAGTTTTATTCCAATAAAAAAAGTTTTTTGAAAATTTATACAGTTTTTCAGTTTTTATTTTATTTAATCAATAAATAAGTTTAAAATAAAAAAACAATGTTTACCATTAACAAAATAATATTTTATACCATTAATATTCGAGATATTCCTAAAAACTGAAAAAAATTTACCGGTGTTGATGACCTTAATCCCTTAGAATAGACGTTAAGGACACAATGCACTTCGACCATATTGTAGAGATTTTGTGCAGCCCATTGGTTCACCATACTAGGCCAAATTCGCGCATGAAGATAAATGGATTAATCGGTGAGTGTTTGAAGATATCATCTGGGTCTGGGTAAGACAAAATCTTCGTGTTTCGAGTTCCCAATGACGGGTAGTTACAAAAGTTCAGAGGTTTCCTCTTGTAGTACACAGAATCTACATAAATTCATCATGACATTTCAAGTGTAAATTTATGGTGTCTAAGACCACAATATCCAGTAATTCCTTGCTACTGATGCTAAGGAAAAGTTCTGTACCAATTATCATTAAGCTATTTAAAATTCCTCAATTTGCTCATTTTTTCACTAATTTTTCTTGGGTATTTTGTAATTTTAGTACAAAAAAAAATTTTTTTGTTGAAAAAAGTTTTTTTCATAAAAAT